GAGTGGATCTCCAAAGGCAGGAAATGCCATCATACCTGTACGACAACACCAGGAAACCTGCAACAGAAAATCTGGGCACTTTGCTGGGGTCTCAGGCTCACATGGGAGTCACATTGAGGTACAGCCCAAACCTGATACCTCCCCTCCAGAAGAAAAGGAACACCTGAGACAAGGGAGATAGGACGTGGTGCAAGATGTAACTGAGTTCCTTGGACTCTCCCATGGTCTGTGTCTCTGTGAGATTTCTGTCTATCTTTATTGAATCTGATGATTGGGTTTTGTATATTAATAGCAGTCAATCTGTATCATGTATACATCAATGTATACATTAAAAGCGAGCTGATCGCCTGGCGGTGCTGCAGCCCCGAGGAGCCCACCCTGGTTTCAGCATCACCAGATTTACCCATCAGGGAATAAAAGGCACTGCTGGGACAATGCGTGCTCACAGCTGGCGGAGTTCTTTGGATTGCCAGAAGATGACTTTTGCTAAGGGAATATGCTTCCCTGGCTCGTGTTTGTTCAGCCTCCTCCCAGAAGGATAGGAGGGAGAACATTTATGCAAGTTAGTTCATACAAATCAACAGCTGTTATAGCAATTTTTTCCCCCACTGATTTGAAGTGTGAATTATAAAGGCTGGAAAGCAAATACAGCAATCAAGCCCATCTGAGACAAGAATATTTTTATGTGTGGGTTTTTCTGTATGTGGTCATGACAGCAATAAGATTTCTGATTCTCTACCCCAAGCAAACCAATGAACAAATACTTCCTTTTCTGACTGTGATGGTAAAGTTTATGTGGTTGCTATTTTCTTCTTACAAGAATTTTACTATTTATTGTTTAGTCACTGCAGGGACACTGTAGGAGCCTCATGCTAGGTTGATAGCTGTCATCTGATAACGTTTGTCTGAGGAACAAAGTGTCTTTTTCTCAGTGATGGAGTGAACGCCTTGCTGTGCTCCCAGCTGCTTTCATGTGAGAGATGGGGTTTTATGGACATGTGGATGTGTTGCAGGAATTGCCAAGCTCCCAGTTAAATCTGCTGCATCACCATTACTTCTGCATAACCACCAGACTGAGTTGAGCCTTTGGTCCTTGTTCTTCTGTTTGCTAACCTGTGAATGCTTTGTGTTGCAGCTTTATTAATGCACCACTTGCATAGGAGACGTCTGACATTTCAGACAAAATTCACTTGCTGGCACTTTGCAAAGATTTTTGTGTGCATAAACACATCTGTCTCATTCTGTGTGACTGTTCTGAGGAAGACAAACACCACATGTTTAGTGACATTCACTCCATGTTTTCAAAGCTTCTCTCAGCTGCTGCTGAAGATGTTCGTGAAGAGCTTTCAGCAATAGAAATGTGAAGTTAGACGCCTGAACTCTTCCAAATGCTGAACACGGTCCAAAAGAAAGCCAGCTGTTTCGTGACACAAAGTCAGGAGCTCGTGATGCAGTTGTAACAGTTTCACAGGTGTGAAGGCGTTGAAAAAAAATACACAGAGCTCCTGGTTGCCATTGTAACCCCCAGTTCCTACGGCATGGCCTTCTGTCTCTAAGAATTGAATTCAGACAAATTAAACGTTGCCTGAATAACAGATTGGTATCTCCTCAACGTGCATTCAAGCAGTCCCTCTGTGGTTACATGTAAGCTTGCTCGGAACTTCGCCGTAGCCCAGAAATGATACGAATCACAGAGCTGGGTAAGGTGTGCCAGTAGTCACTCCCAGGCACAACTTCCATTCATCCACTGCAGGAACTTGTAAAAAAAAAAAAAAGAAAGAAAGAAAGAAAAACAAACAAACAACAAACAAACAAACAAACAAACATTTTGAATCCTGTCAAAAAGAACCCCTGAATCCTGGCCATGCACTCCCTGTCCTGCAGTGCTCACATCGGACCCTCTCTCCTGCTCTGTGCTGGTCGCACTGGGCACAGCAGGCAGGGCTCCTCAGCCTCCGGAACCTCCTGGCCGCCAGAGCATCAGTGCCACAGTACTGCAGAAACCAGGCTGGAAATACGGCCTCTGGTGGCCGAATCCCCATTTGGCGTGTTGGAGAAGATGCTGATTGAATGAACGGTGTCGTGTTTTTATGCTCGATTACTGAGCGAATTCTCAGCAAACCATGCGGAGTTGCTGTGCTAGCCACCATCTGTAAGTGCCGAACTTGTTTCCTTCAGAACATCACTTCCTGCCAGGAGAGGATTTCAGTAGCAAAGTGCGTGTCGTGATTTTGATGTATAAAAAAGCCTACCTGCAAACCTCTCTCTCTTCTCTGTGTGCAAATTCAATGCTCTTTTATTCTAAGAAGTTGGAGATCTCCCTAAAATCAAATCTGCCTGGGGAAGGGCTGCATGTGAGTGCTGATTGGCTGTGTGCTGTCAGCTGCCAACTGCACTGCATCCCATTCTGAAACTGAATGAGTCGTGAATGCTGTCCAGCAGTGGGCGAGCATCTGCCTGAGCTGTGTGCGACAGCCTGTGGGTGCTGGTGGGACTGGGTGCTGTACACAGGATGAGGACATTCCCCGGTGTGTGAGAGGTTACTATTTGCAGCAGTTTAAAGGAGGGGAAGTAGGAATACTTTTACTTCCCAATCCATCTATGGATATATCGCATAACTATAAACCAGCAAGTTTTGGTGTGTGTCTGCTTTGGCTGCTGTAAGGCTGAGCTCAGAGTTTGTTGGAGTAATTTTTAACTTCCCAGCTCCTTGAGGTGACCTATTAAAATAACAGGGTTTTTTTCCTCACAAAGCTATACATAAAGCATTCATTTTTGCAGAAGTTGACCCTCCATAGAGCACTTCTCACCCTTCAGATCTGGATATATTCATATGCAGTTGAGATTCGCTGCTGACCTTTTCAAAGCAAATGCAGCCAGCTCTGTGCCCCGGTGGCACCACAGCAAAAGGGACGTACAGCTCAGGGACCCCAGAGCTCTGTGTTGCAGGAGATAAGGGTGAGGGCACTGCTCTGCCAGCGGATGCACGCAAAGCGTGCTGTGATGGGCAGGATTCTGCAGACTCTTTACCAGGAGTAGAACTGCAGAAGGACTGTGGAGCTTCAGTTAATAGTACCGTGATGCATGAGGGGCTGCTCAGCAGCCTCCTGAGCAGGCAGTGTCCTCTGAGGTACCTCCGTGTTCCGAGGACCTGCTCTGCCGTAAGCTCCAGTGTCCCCTACTGGGACAGTTCTGCAATTTCACTCATTGAAGGGCGGAAAAGCCGTTCGTGTCTTTTCCCAATTGGAGATCAAACCCTAACAGAAGCCTTGCAGAAGTATTACTGGTATGTGTGGAAATTCTCTTTTAAATTGGGCTTCTGGATATTTTGGATTGCTTTACAAGGATGTTCAGTCTGTGTTCAGAAGAAGCCATATAACTGCACTATTGCATACCCACACAGGTGGCTGTGTTGTACTGGAGTCACAAGCCAGCAGTTCAGGTAAGTCGTACTCCCATCCACTCCATTCATCTATTCAGTACTTTTCCCCAGATCTGCTATCAGTTACTCTACGTGTGATGCACAGTGGAGTAAGGTCAATTCCACCCTGAAGTGGTGGAGAAGGAGAAAAGCTCCAAAGCAAACCAGATTCAGGCTGATCCAGCAAAATGCCTGTCAGAGAGCAAGGTCAGTAGACCCGGGCCATGATTACAGAAACTACATACAGGATGCAGACATCACTGAGCATAACACCTGGTGCCCATATCAAGAGTTTTCCCAGAGGTCTGCTTTGTCTCATTACACAACAGCTATTTGATATTTTACTCATCTGAACACCAGTACGAACATGCACAGCACGATATAAGTGAGCAGGCACTGGCATTCCAAATTCACAAGTGCATGCCAAAAAGCCCAGCACATCACAGCACTCTCCAGGCATGGGGAACTGCAGGCTGTGTGCTCCCTCCATGTTGCCCTGATGGCGTTCTGAAGGGCCCCCGCAGTGCAGTGCATTGGCAGCAAACAGCAGAGCTGTGCTGCTCCCGCTGCAAAGCGCGGGTTCCAAAAGTCAGCAAGGAGCCTTCCCTGCCAAAGCTTTTGGGAAATTCATTTGTTGCCTTCATATGAACCAAGGGAGATGAGCAAAGGGTTAAAGAGAGGACAAAGGTCGAGCTGTTGTGTAAGATGATTGGAACTATCCAGAACAAGGTCATCCTGGCTGTGGGAGGAGATGCACTGTGCAGCCCAGAGGCGTGGGCCACTTTGATTCTTGGGGATGAAGGGTGTAAATGTATCTGTCACGTTAATGATAAAAAACCTCCAAACCCTAACAGGGCTTCTCATTGTTCAGCTTATCCATCTCTGTCTAGAGCTTTCCAAAGCCTTTACTCAAGCCAATGCGCAACGTTGGCACTGGCTCACATGAGCTGCGGAAGACAGTGATGTTTTTGTGCAGTCATACTTGAAACTGTGTCCTTGGAGAAGGAGTCTCCTCTCAGGGTTTTTCTTAAGCAAATCCAATTTCTGATGACTTTTAAAGACCCTTCAGAAGAATAGCACTGTTCCTTCCCCCAGCTTGGGGGATGCAATCTGTTTATGGGCGCTTTGATCTTTTTTGGGTGCTCATTAAAGTGAGCCCATTTAAACCATGACAGGCCAGCAATGGCTATTAAAACATGGTCTGTGGAAGACATATCATAATGTTAAACATTGCCAGAGGGTTGCAGCTGAGATATGGATGCTGAATATAGTTTCAATTCTTTTAGGGTTTAACGTTCCAGAAAATACGTACTGTAAATGAGGTTAACCCTAGGCTTGGCAAGCTATTGCTAAAAGTGAGTTTGGTATCTGAAGGAAAATAATTCATAATTGGCTGAACAGTGAAATTTTTAGAAGAGTGAAAGAAAATAAAACATTTTTCTCTAATTTAGAGGAGACAGTTGGGTTCTTTGCACTCTTGGCCTCTGCGGAGCATTTCGCTCTGCGGTGCGTGCAAAGCTGCAGACGGACGGGGAAGGGGTGGGGACGGGGATGGAGATGGGGACAGGGAAGGGGATGGGGAGGGGTGCGCAGCTGAAAGCGGGCAGCGCTGGGCGCGCCGCGGGGTCTTCCAGAGCGCAGGAATAGCTTCGTCTCTGCTCCGTTGGGCGGCACCGGAGAGCCGCAGCTCCGAGCTGCCCCGCCTCGCAGTTCTGACTTCTCAAAGAGAGCTCAAATTGCTGTCTGAAGCAAACTGAGGAAATAATTATTTTTTGAATGTGCCTTCTCTTAATGGAGATTAAACGCAGTCTCACCTAGAAGAGATTGGGCTCTCTGTTTCCTATGGAAAATCAATCCTGTTTCATCTTTCTGCAGGGACAGACGAGCAGTGCTCTCTGCTGCTCAGTGGCGGACGGGAGCTGCATGCAGCTCTGCCTTCTTTTTCAGCCTTGTGCTCATTTCTGAGACAATCTGATTTTGTGCATTTCTCTACAATTCAGATCGTTTCAGGGGAACCCAATCTGTGTTTCAGCTCGTTGGTTCTTCTCCAAGTAATAAATGAAGGCAGTTAAATTTGAATTAATCACTCTGACGTTTTCAGCTGCCCTGGAGGAAGAGCTGCTCTCCCTGGGAGCCCCAGGAGTACGAGCACATGCCAAGATCTTGTGAATGAGAGAAGTCAGTATCTAAAGAACACAGCAAAACGACAAGAAATGTAGTCACTGCCCTTTTAAGGGAATCTTTCAGATAGGAACGAGTTTGGAAGAGCAGACAGAGGTGCCACTGGGACTCAGCAGTGCCACGAGCAGAGTAACCCAGGCTGTCTCTGACAGGGTCCTGCTCACCTTCACACCGTGAGGTCCCACCAAATCACGCAGAGCACGGAGGGTGGGCAGTGCTCGAAGCTAGAAAAGTAATGGAGCATCAGCGCCTTGCGGGACCAATCCCTTCTCGAAGAGGACAGATCCTTGCTTTGCGATGTAGTGCACCTACCTGAGTGGGATGGAGTCCCGGACCTTCTCTTAATAAAAGCAGTAAAAATCTCTGGCACCGTATGAGTTAAGAAGAAATAAAACCCAGACTGGGCAGCAACAAAGGCAACAGTTCACAAACACATCTCGAATTGTCAAAACGTTTTCCATTGTGGCGGACGATCGGATCGTCCTTCTCTCGGTGACAGGAAATGCCACACGCGGCGCAGCTGAAAATTGCTGATCTGGGAAGAGGACAAAAGCCGCGCCGTGCCCGCGGAGCTCTGCAGCCGCACCCCGCTGCCAAATCGCTCCGCGCCGATCTCGGCGCCGCACCCGCAGCCCCGGCTGGGCTCGGCCTCCGCCACCCCCCCCAGCTCTCCTGCCAGAGGCGGGGACCCAACCCAGCGCATCCCAGCGCATCCTCTCGCGGCACCATTCGCCTCCTCGCAGCTGCAGCTGCTCTGCCGCCCCGTCTCGCTGCCGCTTCCTCCCCTCCCGCGAGGTAAGCGCTTTCTTTCGCTTTATCTCTGGGGCTCCTGACGGGTCCGCTTCAGCCTTGCATTGCTCTGTGTCCCCCGCTAATTTCCCTTCATTTCTGTATGGTGTCTCCCGTGCGGTTCTGCAGCTTGCAATATTTTCTTTTTTCAGGCATTGACTTGGTCACTTTCTGCAGTAGGGAAGTTGTGTGGCCGTGCTACAAGGTGAAGGGCTGCAACAGGGCGAGAAACAAAGATGACACTGAGCAATATCTGCTTTCCTCCAAACTTCCCTGCAGCTGCACAAGTGTTCCAAATAATCTTTAGTTTCTGTGGGACAGATGTCAGTACTAAAGTAATAGCATAACACCCTGTTGTAATGTTACTGTACAGTTCCATCTGCTCAACAGAACAGCAGCATCCCATCACTTTGGCAATGGAGTGGTGATGAGATAAATAATTCCAGGATCCCCACGAGTGGTCCTCTTCAGAGGAAGCTCAGTAGTTGCCTGTCAGTGATGGCTGCAACTGAGTGAAACTGCCTGCTCTGATGGACGGAGCTGCTGCCGCTCTGCCCGCAGAGCCACGAGTGCTCCAACTGAGAACAAAACACAAAGGCATTAATGAAAATAATGATTTTAATCATTTGGTGAATTTGCACTGTGAAATAGGAAAAGATTTATCATTACTGAGCATTGAGTACCTCTTATGAAGATACAAATCCTAGTAACTATTATCCAGGTAGCTTAGCTCTGATGAATACCTGCAGCCCTTCCCCAAAGCTTTTAGATTGATGTACTTTCAAAAACAAATTAAGCTACAGACTCCTGCACAAGGAAACCTCTCAGAGCAGATGACCTTGGTGCCACCGATGAGATCTCTGATGTAGAAGCATCCGTGTGCAGAACTGACCTGTGGCTTTTATCTCTGAAGGTGTATTTTTACTCTGAAGCATAAGTTTTGGAGCTTGGAAAGATGTGCTTGCGTAATTCTGTTCCAGACTGATGGCACTGTTTGTTCCATTGAGGGATATCATAAACATCTGCTGCTTCATTTGCTTTATTGTTTGATCACATTTCAGGCAAGAAGTCAAGAATTCACCTTCTTTAAAAATTGCTTTTTGGAAAGGGGGGGTGAGGGGGGGGGTGAACAGTGAGCTTCCCTGCTCTTTGCTACAAATTGTGAGTGCTGTGTGAGCCACAGCAGGACAGGTGGGCTGCGTTCAGCTTTGTACAACACCTCAGTGAGAGCACCCTGTGAGCTGCATCTGCTTTGTTCGAGATGCCTCTGGGAGTGCTGAGGAGATGTGGGGAGTGCTGGGAGACCTCTCAGCTCCATCTGACTGAGGCATGGCAGACCCTGCTGCATGCAGCCATGTGGCTGAGCCGCGGTTGGATTCCCAGGACTGCAACAATGGGGATGGATTTTGCATCCCTGCAGAGCAGTGCAGGAAGAACCATGAATATAGAGGTAGCTTTAAATTTCAGACCAGCTTTGGCACTTGCTTAAGGTCACTGATCTGACCCAGGGCACGAGGTGCAGCTGAAATCCTGGCTGAGCAGTGGAGGTGAAGCTGAAGTTCACTGGGGAGGAGCTGAGTGTTGGTGTGTGGAACCAATGGCAGTCGTCATTCCCTGCATGGTGCAAATAATTATCTTTTCTCCATCACTTTTTTGGATGATCTCTCCCTTTGTGTTTCAATGGCATGATTTTGTTACTATCAGGTAAAAGAGCGAAGCTGCTCAGTGGCTGTGTTTCCAGAGTGTACGTCTGAGAAAAAATGAATAAGCTGCATTGCACCCTAATATGTTCAATGGAAATGTGAATGTCTTGGAATGTACTTCAGGTTGGACAAAGTCCAGATTGTGCTGCATTGCTGCTCCTTCATTTCAATCTTTTACAGGCTTACAAGAAGAAATAAATGCTATATACTTCACATGGATGTCCATAGCAAAACAAGCACATAAAGATTGCTCTCATGTAAATGCTTTAAAAATCAAAGCTGTCACTGTGCCCACTTAAGTCTGTAAAAGCAATCTTTAATGTCACTGAACTACACAGAGTCATGTGCTCCAGTACACATGGAAGTCTGGGGGAGAACTGGGAAATTAAAACCTGTGCCGTTTAAATCAGAAGATGGACACTGAGCTCCTTGTGCAGTTCTTGAAACTTCATGCGACCTTTTTGGTCAAAAATGCCTTTCTGATTTCATGTAGCCAAGTCATTTATTTTGTATACTGACATCGCTAAGGTTAGTCATGCTTTATCATCTCTAAGTTGGTCATAACATCACTGGGGCTACAAAGCACAGTGCATTAGATGATGCTGCAAACATATGCCACGCCCTCAGGCTGCTGCCCTGTTGGTGTCTGTACTTCACCTCACTCAGTAGGCAACCGCTCTGGTCAAGCAGGCAAAGTTACACTTTTCCTGAATTTCTCTGCTCAGGTCCATTTTGAGGTGTTTTTTCTGATTCTCAGTTTTGTCCCCAAAGCTCTCAATGTTCAGTAAGAAATTTATGGGCTGCAAAGTGTTTCTCAAACCTCAGCGGTGACACATTTTGCCTCTTGTTTTCCCCAGGATGCACCAGCAGAGCACTGCGCTGTGGGTCCACCAGCAGTGACCCATGGGATGACAGCCCCACACACCGGGCTCATAGGAGACACGTCAGGGAGAGGAGCGGGAGAGCTGAGTCTGGGCAGGAGGCAGCATGGGAGCAAACACCTCCAGCAAGTCACTGCCCTTCAATGAGAACGAAGAAGGTAAGAGCCCTGCTCTGCAGAGCGGGTGGTGTCTGAAACTGCAAAGTTCAAAGAGAATATCCTGGGGGCAGCATGGCTAAGAGTCACCCCAGCTCCCGGGCACTCAGCTAAGCCCAGCAGTGCCAGGGCGAGCCGCAGCCCCGCACCTTTGGCCGAGCACAGGATGAGGGCACCCAGCAGGGGGCTTTTGAGGCGCCCGGGGACACTGCCAGGCAGTTTGAGAGCGGGGAAGAAACGGCTGTTCTGCAGGCAAGGAAGGTTTGTTTGGAGACCACGGCTCAAGGAGTGGCACTAGCAGAAGGGCGTATCCTGAGGAATAGCAGAAGAGCCCGGTGATGTGTGCCCTTCATTGCTTTAGGTTCGGTGGGAGAGCCGCTGCAGAGCTGGGCCGACAGCCTGGGGCAGGAGGGGCACCGAGAGCAGCCATGCAGGCTGGATTTGCTGCGCTGCCAAATGGTAGAGATGGCACTTAAGGATCATTCCATAAATATAGTTCCTGCTGCATGAGCGAGCTCATTACCTTCCATATGGGCTTTCCCATGAGTACCGTAACAAAGTGCATAGATAACACAAATAAAATACAAACAAAAGAGGAGAACTTAGATGACTCATAAACTGTTCTTCCACAGAGAAGAATGCCAATCAAATATTAAATGATCTTGAATTGTTAAAAATGAACAGTTGAAATTCTTTCCCAGTGAAATTCTCAGTTTGTTTCAATGCTTCATAGATAATGTGTGATGTTTATCAGGCCCAACGAAATGCTGAGTGCTACACATGTTGGGGAAGGGCAGTTAGGGCAGATCTGATCAGGATTCCTTTGTGCTGAAGTTTACTGGCACAGTTTATAGAGACACGAGGGAGAAAAAACATCAGTGGTGTGAGACCTTCTTGGAGATCTCATTCCTGGCGCATCCGATGTTAAATACTGGCATCTTCTTTCATAAGTAGCTGCTTGTACTAACTCAGGTGACCGGCACTTCTCACTTTCCTGACCACCTTCCTTGGTGTCCCGGCTGTGAGACTGAAAGCAAGCAGATTTTCATTGTCCGCTCCCTCTGCTGAGTCCTGCCTGGTTCAACGCTTTGTGCCGCATCAGCTCCTATGGCTGAGAAATACATGCTCTCTGCAGCAATACAGTCGCCTGCACAGTCCTGTCCTTTGAATGGGCCTTTGCTGGGCTGGAAAGAAAGATCTTCTAACACCAAATTTTAAATAACCCCATGTCTTCAAAAACAACAGGGAGATGCTGCAGTACCCTGCAGGTTTTTTCTCTTATGGAGAATTAGAAGTAACTTCATCCAACTGCTGCTCAGCCATTTTGCATTTGAATGTTTGCTGTTTCTTGCAGTTACCTTCGACCATTTTGAGATACTGCGAGCGATTGGGAAGGGCAGCTTTGGAAAAGTAAGTAGTGTGTGAGTGAATCGGCACTGGGAGAGCTGGAAACAACGGAGAGAGGGGGAAATTAGAGAGGCTTTAATGAGAGCAAAAAGAAAAAAAAAAAAAAAACAAACTGCATTGTCAGTGAGATCTGAGCATCAGCTCGTCAAGTTGGTTAAGAAAGAATCAGAGCCCAATTCTTCATCCACTCCATAACCACAAACGATATTACAGGAGGTTAACATGAAACACTGATAAATCAAAAGGCCTGAATTTGCTGTGTTTCTGGATAAACATTTTCCAAGTTTCCGCAGCAAAACACTGAATATCATGATACATATTTAGCAAAGGGCTACACCCACATAAAAGGCTTGGCAGTATCTTTTTAAGGGAACATCTGTCTGTGAAACAGTGTTTGTTATTAAGCATCACATTACAGTCACATCAGTTTTATTTTTATTGTTATGAAATTTCATGGTTTTAGATGTTGGCAGAAATTTCAAAGGTCATTTCCCTTTTCATGAAGGCACACAGATGCCATAACAGAGATGTGCCTTTGTACAGAGAGAAAGACTTGCGGGTGGAAAAACAAAAAAGGTTGATCAGAACTTTGCAAATTCATCCCCAAACTGTCATGGAAAGAAATCTGGAGAGAGAAAGGAGAAAAAAAAAACCTAAGTATTTGGTTTTGCACACTCACAGACTCAGTTTTTCACTGATATATTCCTTTCCCTGACCCTCTCACAGCAAAAGCTGTCCTTTGGGGGAGCATGGGATGAGGTATTCCCTGAGGTATTCCCTGGCGATGCTGGAGCTGCAGAGCAGCACGTGGAGCTGGACTCAGCTGAGGGCTCTGTGAAAGTCGCCCTGAGGCCGTGCTTTATCTGCGTCAGTTTGTTGGCAAATCATCTCTGATGGATCACGTATTTATTATTTAGGTCTGTGTTGTACAAAAGAATGACACCAAGAAAATGTATGCCATGAAATACATGAACAAGCAGAAGTGTGTGGAGCGTAATGAAGTGAGGAATGTCTTTAAGGAGTTGCAGATCATGCAGGGCCTGGAACACCCCTTCCTGGTTAATCTCTGGTAAGGCTTTTCTCCTCTGCTCACTGGTAGGTCTGTGTTGTTAGCTGGAGAAACCTCTGACCGTGTTTATGCCGTGGCAGGTACTCATTCCAAGATGAAGAGGACATGTTCATGGTGGTAGACTTGCTGCTCGGAGGGGACCTGCGGTACCACCTCCAACAAAACGTGCGATTCCAGGAAGGCACCGTGAAACTGTTCATCTGTGAGCTGGTGTTGGCCCTCGACTACCTCCAGAGCAGACACATCATCCACAGGTCAGCTGGGTCTCCGTAGGCGGGTGGAATTCATGGGCTGCAGAAGGGGCTGATTTTTTCCTCCATGATTTGACAGGACAAACAGAGCCTTCAGAGCTAAACAAACTCCCCCACGTACATTTGCTTTTGTGTAAAATCGTGTACATTTTTCAGAGAAAAGCATTTCTCTTGTGTGACATTTCCCATTCCTGATTTATTCAGTGATGCAGACCTCGGAGGTCCAAGACTGCTGGCTCAGTATTGGCTAACTAGGGCATCAGCAGGATGGAGTTAGCAGGGGTTAAAAAAGAGGGCAAGGGCAGAAAATTATCACATTCAGCATTCTTGTGAGGTGTAAAAAATAAAATATGCACAAAGTTAGGGTTGACATGATCCTTGTGGCTAGCAAAAGAACGAATGCACTGTTCAAGGCTGATGAACACTTGCTTCTGCCGAGGAGCATACACCTGCCATTCCTGACATGTGAAAGCAGAAAGGTTGCCTCCATGCTCTGGTGGGCCCTCCTCAGTTGCAGAGAACCCCAGCCGACCAAAAAGATTTTGCTCTTCTTTCTGTATGTAGGCTTCCTTACACACAGCTGCCAATTTCTCAGTGTCTTATTTTTCATCCCTCTTGGATTGTTTGCATGAGTCCTTTTTGTTTGTACGAATACCTGCATAGATTTCTGCCCCACAGTACCCTGACCTTGGCGAGCAGCCGGCACCCTGCTCTGCTCCAGCACTGCTGCAGCGGGGAGACAGCGGGCAGAGCTGTGCCTCCACCCCACACCTGCCTGAGTCACCTAATAATGGATGAGCATGAATTAAACATTGTGAAGTGCACACTGAGCTGCCTTTGTCCTGGGCAGCCAGGAGCAAATCTTTGTGCTGCAGGCTTGGTCTAAACAAATCAAGTTGGACATGGGTACAAGACAAGCACAAGGAGGAAATCTTCTCTACCAGAAACGTGTTGCAATCAGTGGCATTTCCAGGGCTTGTGGGCAGGAAGAGCTGCACAATTTATGATCTAAGGAAAAGTCTGTACAGGAAACAATTTGCACCTCGTAAAGGTGAGAGGTAACTGGGAATTGATGGTCTCTGATCTGAGCATGGGGATGCCAGCATAGCCACTGCAGTGCCCCAGCACCCACACCAGTTGCAAATACGCAGGGAAGAGCCTGGGGGCAAAGCTACTGTGATTTCCCAGAGGGTTCTCTGCAAATACAGGAGGGATTGTGGAGGTGGAGTGCACACGTGCCCAAGGGCAGGTCCCCAAAGGCTGAGTCTGATCCACAAGGTGCATTTCAAGCAGCCGCATGCAGTACTGTATCAAGGTACAATGGTTCCACAGAAGTATAGTGAGCTGCAAATTTGCAAGTGATTTAATTAACGCTGCATCTCAGTGGGACAATGTCAGGTAAAGCGACTCAGCTGAGGAGTGCAACACCCACAATTGGGAATGGCAGGAGAGACGCAAACAACCATTCACATTGTCTGAACAGTGCTGTGTGGACACAGCAGAGCGATGGCTGCAGTTATTTCCCTCCGTACACAGAAAGGTGGGAAATGGCTGTTAACCCTTTCAGGCTAGGAAAGGCCTGCGCTCAGCCCAGAAGCAGCAGGAGGACTGCAGAGGACTGAAAGCTGCTATGTGGTAATTAGATGTATTGTCTCTCCTGGATCGCAGATGGCCAAGCGAGGTCAAACTGTACCTTTTGCAGTTGTAAAGTCTAAAAGTGCTCCCTCCTCACAGTGCCCTGTGCAGCATCTACACACCCAGGCCATCGCTGTGCTGCCCCCACTCCACACCTCCCACAGTGCCCAGAGCTGTGCTGGCTCAGTGCGAGAGCAGGCGATGGGCGCTGCTGTAATTAGGTCATTAAGAGCAGCTAATATCTTGTAAAGCCATTCAGGAGGTGTATCAGGTGTACACCTCCCTTCAATGGAACGCATTTTATTACAGCTTTGCTATAGGGGTTTGTTGCTGTTTTGTTCAGGAACAAAGCCTGCAGGAACCAGTTTGTTTCTAGAGCTCACGGCAGGGATGAGCTCAGCCAGGCACCTGCAGCTCCCCCTAATCAAAATAAATGACATTTACTCATTCAGTGTACTCTTAGCAACAGAGAAAGCAGGCCATATTCTCATGGACTGGAAGCAGGGATCTCTGCAGCATCTCCACAGAGGAATGGGTTCCTGTTAAGGTTATTCCTTCCATTTTCTCCCTTACAGGATGGGGCTGTTTTCATAATTCGTTATTACAATCATTGTCACTTTGTGCTGCAGAGTACAAGGAGTACTTTATTCATCCTTTTTCTCCTCACTTCGTATTTTTCTGCTCCAACCTTTGATGCCCCTCACTCTCCCTGCTGTTACCCCAAGGGTGAGTTATTTGTCAGTGTGCCCACAGTTGGTAACCAAGATGCATCAGACGCAGCGGTGATGAATTTCCCTGCTGCGTCAATTTCTCAGTAGCCTGGAGGAAAGAAGTTTATAAGCGGCAGCATGGATGACTTTTATCCTTCTGAAGAAAATGAAAGCATTAATAAATAAAATCCCAAACAGAGCATCAGAACATCTGTTCTGCTTTCTGTAGGGTCTACATATTAAAAGCCAAAGGTAGAAATTTGGCAAGCATTTAAATGAGTGTAATTCTGATTTTGTAATTTTTATTCCTGTAATATAAAGCACACTGTTTTTGGAGAGCCTTCCTGCTTTTGCACCTTTTGTAAGTGCAGCTTCTGTCCCTCACTGCAGAAATGCCCCATTAAGGTGCACGAACACGTTCCTTGTTGTGCCACTGATGTTCCACCTGCAGCTGAATTGCACCAGTGATGCCAAAAGAATAAAAGCAACATTTGATTCCACTTGTTTGCCATTTACCCAGTAAAAGTCACATGTTGGAGTTAAGCAAACAACTTCCAGTAGAATATTATATTAAGACAGAGCATGAAGTAAAGAAAAAGGTAAAAAGCAGCTTTTGACACTGTGGCTGGAGCATCCGGGTGCTGCTGGCCCTGACAGTCACATCTCTACCTCCATTTCTGCTTTTGCTGCTTGAGGAGCTGCTCTCCCGTGCTGAAATCAAACCCTGCAGAAACATCAGAGCTGAAGAACTCCAACAGATTTTTCTGAGGTGTAATTCCCTCTACAGCCTACAGCTTGGCTACTCAGAGAGCTCCCGCAGCACTGTTCCATGCCACATCCCCAGCTGAACGGCTGTTTCCTTCTTCTCTCTTTCTTAGGGACATCAAGCCTGACAACATCCTCCTGGATGAGCACGGTGAGTGCCACTTACCCCCGGTCATTCATACGTATAAAAGCAGGGACAGAAATAGTAAACCTGTGCTGAGGTTTCACTGCTCACAGCTTTCTTCACTTTGCGTTGCTTTCTTTTTGGTCCATGAGCAGTCTGAAGCATTATTGCCCTTCTGTGCTCGGGATGATGAATTCTGCTTTTAGAGGAGCAGCATCGGGCATATTCAGAGCACTGTGCATCCCACATTGCTGGGCACTTTCCAGGGGTTAAATTGGTGTTTAATCAACTCTGCTGTAGACTGATTCAGTGGCATTTCAGGAGGGCATTGGCAGGTCAGATGTATTCTGTGCTGTTTGGACTCAGTTTCCAAGCAATTCTCATTTTAAAGCCTCTGCAGTTGCTTATAACATACCCAAAATGTAGTAATCTGAGCAGAAGTGTAAGCACAGCTGCGTGTAACTTATGCGCATAAACAGGATGTGTTACAGTTGCACAGAACATCTCCATTCACACATTTCTTCTTCCTTGGGCATTTATCTTCGGGAGGAATCTCTGAAGAGGACTTAGAGCTATACATGTAGTGCATCCAGGCCTCTGTCTATATATATTTTCCTAACTATACTCCTGTTCTATCACTGAATAGATTTGGTTTTATCCTGGCAAAGTCACCCCAGTGAAGAGCTGTTCCGACACTGATCAGCTTTTAAGTCATTAAAAAAGAAATCAGTATTTTAATATTTTCTGGAAATCCATATAGTTGTCTTGTTGCGAGAAATCTTCATTAACAGCTCCAATAAAGCCACTGGAACAGGCTGCCCAGGGAGGTTGTGGAGTCTCCTTCTCTGGAGATATTCAAGACCCGCCTGGACGCCTACCTGTGCGACCTGATGTAGGGATCCTGCTTTGGCAGGGGGGTTGGACTCGATGATCTCTGGAGGTCCCTTCCAACCCCTACGATTCTGTGATTCTGTGTGATTCATTTCAAGAGCAAGTGCCAGCAAAGGAGCAAGGCATATCCGAGAGCATTATCACCGCAAGTTTTAACACCGATGCTGGCATTTCAGAAGAATCACTGCAGTTCTCACACATAACCAAGCTCCACTGCATTCCAGCCCAGGCTCCCAGTTTGCCCATGACCTCCGCTTTCAAAGCACCAGTTTATTTATGGTGGAACTGCAGCACAAACAGGGGACCAGCACTGCCCAGCCATGCAGTGCCCACACAGACCAGATGCCCAGGGCCACTCACAGAGCACTGTTGCAACTCCAGGCACTGCAGAACCACAGGAATGTAGGACAGCATCCTTCCAGAAAGAAAGGCAGGGCAGGAAGGCACTGTGTGACTCTGCAGCTCCACAGCATGGCACCTACAGGCTTCCATTACAGATCACCTGCAGACCTCCATTATGACTGCAATTTGGGATGATTTTTGCTTTCTATCACTGTGGTGTTTTAAGTGTCTGTTGTAGAGGTTTCAGAGTTATTTCCAGTGAATGTGCCCTTGGCTTCAGCATCCTTATGGCTGTGACTTCTATTTCTTTTCCTCCTGCATCTTCATCCAAAAAATGCATCCTCTTGTGCATATAGAAAGCTGTAAGAGGAAACAGATTTTTCTGTCCCCTGTGTACATATTATTAGGGCACATTTATCTCCATGTAGCCTCACAGATTCTGCTTGTTCTTACTTATGGAACAAAGCTGAAGAACCTCATTCCCCCTCCTCCTCCACCAGGCATTCTGTGCTGTTATCAGGAAACGCACGCTGTTTACTAACCATGGTTTCCATAATCCTCTTCACTGAGATCAGGTCCCTCCAAACATGAGGCACCTAGAAACCTTCAGCAGTCCAGCTGCAGCCCCTTGCCCCCATTATCCCCATGCTCCCAGTTCAGCCCTTCAGCAGTAATGTGCCACCTTCTGCTGTCACCCATCACCCTCCTGCAGCTCGGCACAGAAATGCAGTTTCACCTGTTGCAAAGCTCAGTGCCGCTTTGGTGCTGATGCCTGGCAGCACAGAGCAGCCCTGGCACATCTCTGGCTGTGCGGAGGAGTCTGGTTCAGATTGCTGATGGTGCAATGCCTCACGATACTACGCACTGACACGTATCACCTGCTGCAAATTGTTACCAACATATCTGATGTGCTTAATATTCTTTAAAACAATCTTAGCTGAAGTCAGAGAAGCCTTTTCTCCCCCTTCCTCCACCAGAGGTGTTCTGGAAAGGTAAAGAGATTATGTAGTAACACAAGTGCTGCATTTAATAGCAAACTTCTTTGCCCAGCACAGAGCACAGAGTCCTTCTCTGCTCTGCATGCAATGCTCACAGGGGAGCATTGCACTCTCAGGACCCAAGATTTGATTTGGAAGTGCCACTTTCCAGCAGATGAGGAGCTATGGGGAAGGACACGTGCTCAGAGCGCAGCTCTGGCTGCTGCTCAGAAACCAGCTGCAATTGGAGAGGCTGAGCAATCAGGAGAACACAGGCCTTGGAATCTGACTTGAAAATTCCGCAGCAGCACACAGTGCTCTCCTCCTGTCCACCAACAGCTATGTCTGCTCAACCTGTCCACTCTGCCCTGTACAGCTGCACTTCAACACCATTACATCCCATGAAGTCCCACTGTACAGAGCCTCCTTCCTGTTGTCCATGCCATTATTTGACATGCTCCCAAGTGGGAACATTTAAAAACTTGTGGTTTGTTTGAAGTGAATCACTGAAAGGATGCATCCAGAGAAGGGCACGTTTATGCTTGGAATAGCAAATTCTCAATAAGTCTCTGATTCACATTTATCAAAACACCCCCCCACAAAGTGGAATGAGAGATAAAAGAAAAGAATACAAGGACATAGAGGACATCTCAAGACAAGAAAATCCTATATCAGCCTTTCCTTTCAAGCACTCCCCAGCGATCTGATCACAACTCTTTTGCGGGAAGGGAGGAAGCAAGGACCTGACTGATGTTGTACAGCACTGACAGCAGCAAGGAGGGACGTGCTCCAAACCTGCAGCATGCAAGAGACATGCTTTGCCATCTCACCCATGGTCTTCCAGCAGTTCACATGGCTCACAGAAAGACCTCTGTATTTCTCTCTTCCTTCAGAATTGAGCCTGGAAGCACCACAGCTCTGTTAAGGAGCCGTTTTGTGTCTCAGTGGAACTAACAGCCCACAGAGCACGCAGTGAAGAAAGGTCTGACCCAATTAACAGGACGACTGGCAGATAGGCTGTCCTGTGAACAGCGTGCACCTTGCACTGAATCTGACAGAATATGAAGCTGCTGAAACACCAGACAACCACTCATGGCAGGGGGCAGAGGATGAGTTCGTCTTTTCCAGATGCTGATGTGGGGCTGGAAGTTCGGTGGTGAGGAATGATCCCAGACCCAATGGTATCGTGGGCTGCCTGCCTGCCCTGCACACACCCACTCTGTGCTCTGACCATGGCAGATTTGGGGTGGGGGAGAGAGAGCTCCTGCACTCTATGCAGCGTTGTTGGAAAGCTGCATGCGGGAACAGGGATGCGAGGCAGGATTCTTTAGCTAACCACAAACTGTACTTCTGTTCCCTTGATTTTTCCAACCAGATCAGATATTTGCAGCAGGCAAACTTGGTCACTGCTCACACATAATATATTTGTGTGCAAATGTAAGGATTGGCTCCAGTATTTTATAGCATCCAGGGAGGACAGCATATTCACTGCCAAAGCACAAATTTTTAGCCATAAGGACAACCACATGAGTTAAAGTAGAATGAAATAAAGCAGCAGTGAATTTCCAGCTGCTGAAATTCACATATGAATGAATATTGTCCCAGCATCTCCATCAGTAAGAGCCACTTCCATCTGATCTCTGTGGTTAAGAGAAAACAACAGCAATTCAGCCACCCCCTATTGCACCCTATGGCAATAAGTCTGCAAAACAACATCACAGCATTCCCTGGATTGAATGAGGAGTCCAACACTATCAGAGATGAAGTAGTTCATTGCCTTAAGAGAAAATGCATGAGACCAGGAAGAAGCCAGCATTTAATCAGAAGAATTAGGCCAGGTTAACATCTAAGGTTCAAAGAAGCTCACTTCAGGGAAACCAGCCCCATATTGATTACCTGCACTGCTGTACTCCATGGGTTTGCTCACTGATAGTTCGGGGAATAAGGAGTAATAAATTAAGTGCTTGACAAAAAAGAAGTAGTAACCAATAAGACACAAGCCCAGTGGAGGTATTTCCATTCTCATCCCTGCTAATCATATTCATCCTCACATTTCCTTCTCAGTTTGCAGGCAATAGTTGCACACATTGCAGCAGTGTTAGCAGAAACCATGCTCAAAAACACCAGGAAATCCTTGCTAAAACAAACACCACTGAAGTAAACTCACAAACATCACAAGACACACTCAAAGACAGAAAACAATGCACAGTGACAATTTTGAAAACGCCAATATTTCACTCCCAGAGGATAAATAAGGGTTGTTTCCTCTCCAAGATACAGGCATAAGCAGCCTATAAACTAAATGCTTTCTATCAGTTCTGGCATGAGAAATTTCTGCATGGAAGCTACTTTCCATTGGATATTTTACTTTGATAGCTTTCTGGTGGAAGGTTATTTCTTCATGAAATTAAAGCAAATCTGTTTACACTTCGATCTCTTGTCTTCCAGGACATGTGCACATCACCGACTTCAACATCGCCACAATGCTGACTAAAGAAACACAGGTCACCACAATTGCTGGCACAAAGCCGTACATGGGTAAGAGCCAATGAACACCGTGCTCCTGAACTGCCATCTTCCAGATCTGAATTGATAGCCATGGTAAAACATCACTCCAGTTCCTCACACACAAGCACAGCTGATAGAGCAGAATACCACTGATGTACCTGGGAGAAATCAGGGCTGGAGTATGCAGGAAGTGAACCCCAAAGAAACCAGGCGAATGCTAATGGAGCTCAGATGGAAACATCACACAGAAGACTTTGCACTGGGGAAAGCAGGAGCATGACACTTCTGAGTGAAGCAAAAGCACCCAGAAGCCTTTCTGTACAGCTTACACTAAAAACAAAACTCACAAAGCAGTGCAGTCTCCCGCAGCTCAGCACAAAGCCCTCCCCAAAGCTCCTGCAGACATCAGGCCTGGGGAGGGGGGCGAGGAGGCTCCTCCTCATCAGGACCACCTCAACCACCTGGTGCGATCACCATAATAAAGAGGAACAAATGCACAAAAGGAAAGTGCTGCTCTTTGGGTTTGGTTTTATTTTACTCAGAGCAGTTCTTCCTACCCATCTTGTACAAAAATAACTACAGTATTTCCCTTGATCTTAGAAGGGAAACGTTGGCTGAGGGAAGGGAAATTGGCTGATGGGGAGCCTTCCAGGGCACGTCAGTCATATGGAGTGGACAGGGGCTGGAAGGCTGTGGCTCTCAGACTCTGTTCAGTTAAGTTAAGTCTTTGACTACAGCAGATAAGGACAAGCCCAAATGCAACAGTCATGAACATTTAAAAAAAAAATAAAATAAAATTGCTACTTACCTTAAGAAGACCTCAGATACACAGGAAACTCCAGAGAGACACCCTCACCTCCACTGCCAACTCATAAATGAGGGCTGGGAAGGGGTGGATCCTGGTCCCAGCCCTTCCATCAGGTACATTGCATACAGCTGAGCTCCCCTGGGTTGGCCCTGCCTTCCCACCAGGTGCCCAATCACTGCTTCAGCCCATAACTCATCATTTCTGCTATAGGGTGATCTGCTGATCTGTGTCCTGGGATGCTTTCTGTGGTACTGGATCAAGCATTCTGTACTGCTGATTTTCACTCGGGATTGCAACAGTTGTGAATGATCTCTTTTCTGTATTTCACAGCACCTGAGATGTTTAACTCTACAAAACCCATCGGCTATTCCTTTGCTGTGGACTGGTGGTCACTTGGAATCACTGCCTATGAGCTGCTCAGAGCCCGGGTACGGAGCACACAGCACTGATGCCTCTGTCCCTCTCTTTCCTTAAGCATGCTGTTGGAGGGGCTGATGCTTTGTAACAGGGAGGAAAGTTCTGAGACTGATTTCAGGCCCTAAGGTTTATTACAGCAGAAGCAGCAGAAATCAAATCTTCATCAGAGCTTTTGTGATCACAGCTATGAGCAGTGAGAAACCACTGCCATTCAGAAAAGCACATTGCAGCAGCTCCTTGCTGTGACTGAGGGTTTCTCAGGTGACCTTACTCGGGGGCCTTGCAGGCAGTTGATCAGAGCAGTGCTTTGGAAGCACTGTGCAAAAAGCTGGATACCATTTTTTGAATGACATTCTTCTAAGCTAAAGGTGATTGAAAACCTTGAGAGGCTGAAGGTTCCATTTGGTAAAGGAGGGCAAAACACCTTTAAAGAAATGCTGCAACCAATTTTTGCAGAGACCCTAAAAGTATTTTTGACAACAATGTGAAGAACAGAGTGTGAGCGATCTCGGTAGCACGCATTCAGTGATGTGGTAGTCTGAACTGATGGGTAGCTGTAAAAATATGAATATAAATCCGAATTTTCTGTTTGTAAATTTAAATTAATCGCAGGACTGCCCGTGGCGTTGGATTTTTGACTCGGTGGCAGCAGTGGATACACAGTGAGGGACTCGGGGGGCGCGGCGCAGTGAGCAGTGGCAGCTCTGGCAGCGGCGGCACTGCGAGGACTCGAGGTCCCCTCGGTGCCTGTGTGCGGTGGCACCGCGCATGCAGCTGCATCTCACAGCGTGTCCGTGTTGTTGAAATGCATCTGTGGCAGCTCCCCACGCACGCACTGTAGAAATCCGGGAGTTAAAGATCTCTCTCAGCAGCACTCTCCCATTGCATGTAGCATTTCCAAGCAGCAGCGCGGTTGCTGCATGCAGGGCTGCAGAGGCGGCCGTTTCTCCACATGCAGCCCACAGCTCAGGGCTGGGTGCCCGACTGCCGCGCAGCCACAGCACACAGAGCGTCCTGCAGTGCCGGGCCGGCGGCTCTCAGCCTTTGTTGGAAAGGTGCTTTTCCATGAGGTGTGAAAAATCCCGCTCCATTTCCCTTCTGTCACATCCAATATGAGCGAAGAACTGAAAACAGAGAGGCATCTTACGGGAACACTGGGAACGTTGGCAAGGCTGAGGAAGGCAAAGCTGGACGCTGACCGATGGCTCCTATCTGACATCCAGCCATTATTGCTGTCCTCTCTGGCATTATTACTGTGCTTATTTCAGCTGAGCTCGAGACCCGACAGGCAGAGATTTCAGTGGGGGGGTTGGGGAATGTGCAAAGAGATTTTGCTTGGAGCTGCCTTGCTCTGGAAAGATTTCCAAAGGAGCCGAAAAGATACACTAAAATGCTTTCCTTGTTGCACTTTTCACAGAGGCCGTATCATATTCGCTCCAACACTTCCACAAACGAAATTGCTCATGTGTTTAAGACAGCTACAGTGATGTACCCTGCTGCTTGGTCTGAGGAAATGGTGACGCTGATCAAAAAGGTGAGGGCTGCTGTGGGATTGGAGCACGTCGGGGCTGGGATCGCCTGCAGCCAACCGAGCCGTTCCACTGCGCCCCACGGCCCTTGTGGGGAATGGTGGAGATTCGCTGAAAACTGTATCCAGACTCAGTGCTGGTGACCTTCAGGTAGTGCTGCATGACAAACATCCAGCTTTTAATGATAGAGCTCGTTAATGTCACAGTCAGCCAACAGCGCTGCTCTCTGTGCTGATGGTGATGGCGCTCCTGCTGGCAGCCCAGGATGGCTCTTTCCTGAGGACACAGCATTCACTTCCAGGGTTTCTCCTACAACTTTGTCTCTCTGGAGTGATGTAACTTGGAAGTACTGATATGTACGTCCACAAATTTGACTAAAAACTTGCATAAACATTTTATGATTTTTTCCAATAATGAAAAGATTTGCAAAAAAGAATGCTCATAATATTGAAATCCTTCAATGCCGTGAAGCTTATGCAATTTCTTGTGGTCAGGATGGGAGGGCAGGACTGTGGGAGAGTCTGAGCAGGCACAGCAGTTTCATTCTAACCTCCTTCCTTTCACTCTTGCTACAGTTGCTCGAGACAAATCCTGATAAGCGTTTTTCTCAGCTGAAAGATATCCAGGACTTTCCCTATCTGTCAGATGTAAACTGGAATGCTGTTCTCCAGAAGAGGATAATGCCAGAATTCATTCCTACGGTGAGGCAGTGTTAAGTTTGAAAGGTCCTTAGTGTGCCCAATCCTTGTCACACCTGCAGCCTGCCGTGGGAATATCTCACCATTTCCACCAAAACAGCAGGTGCCCTTAGCACAGGGGAGGACAGGCAAGGGCTTGATTTTCACTTTCTGGTGAATCTAATGGCGGTTAATGGGTGGTGACTGCAGGAATGGGCGTCCCAAAGGTGATCCACTCTGTTTATAACAACCCCAAAGTTTCTGTACACAGACTTGGACTTACTTGGCCATGAGCACCACTGGCATTGCAGGTAAAATACGGGGTGCTGTTGGCTTTGAGCCATCCTCCAATAAACCACCTTCTTTAGCAGCCCTGTTTAGGAGCAGCTCTCCTAACGCAAAAAATAATGAGCAAATGAGGGCTCGTTAGCAGGCTGGAGATCACTGTCCATTACAGAACTGTTTCTTCCTGAAGGGACTCTCCCTAACAAGTCCATTGTTCACAGGAAAAGAACAAATACGGTAGATTCAGGTTTCTGATTCTTTTTTAATCGAATTAAAGCAGCACAGAGGTAACATAACCCTCTTTGAAAATAACCCAAGGACTGCTCTGTGCAGTGATGCTCCAACTGTTTTTCACTTGCATCCAAACAAATGGTGAGCTAAACTACGAATATTTAACTGCACGTATTTCCCATCTGTCAATGGCTTTCTCTGTGGTGGATGTGTGTGCATTGCTTCAAAACTCATCATGCAGGATTCTGTACGGCCTCTCAGCAGAGGCTGTCACTTTGAAGCAACCAATGGCTTAAATGTAAGTAGTAAGTGTAAAGGAAGCAAACACACCTTGACAGTGCTCCCCAGCTGAGGGAACTGCTGAAATATGTCGGATGTGCAGCAGCTGTTCCAGCTGTGTGTGCAGTTCTAATTAGTTCATTTTTTACACAACTCAGATCCCAGATGAGGCCCAGTTACTGACAGCCCCTCCAAGACCAGCACTGCTCACTTAAGGCAGCCTTTCTCTCCCCTGCAGAAAGGAAGACTGAACTGTGACCCAACCTTTGAACTTGAAGAGATGATCCTGGAGTCCAAACCTCTTCACAAGAAGAAGAAGCGCTTGGCTAAGAAGGAAAAAGACGCCAACAAAAGCAATTCCTCACAGGTAAGAGCAAGCAGGTGCATGTGTGTGGTGAAGGAAGGCGTTCATTCTGTGTGAAAGCCAGCTATCACTTAGCAGTACCACAGCACCCTGTTTGAACAGACTGTCTCTTTTCCTTTTGACCAGCTTTATTCCCAAGAGATCCCCCATCCCTCACCCAGCTGCACCCCTCACAGTGCATCAACCAACACACACTATTGCTTTTCTAAATCTCCAGTTAGGCTGTTTCTGTTCTGTATTGGCAGAAACCTTCCTATTTTATTTCCTCTGAAACATCCTCTAGAAAGAGGGAATGGTAACATATAAATATTTGCATTAAGAGTTCCTAAGATGCAAAACACTCCAGAAGCACTGTGCAGTTTTCATGGTGCTGGAAAGCCTTTTTGGGTAGGAACTCTTTCTTTGGTTCTGTCTCAGGTGCTGCAAAAACAGAGGACATTCCCAGGGCCAAAAGTAACCTGAGAAGAGTCTGTGCTTTGAGCGTGCAAGCTGGTATCAGAGGGCAAGCTTAGCCAGGTCCTGAGTTTGAGATATTGTCCTACAGAGGAATTGATGTCAAAATTCCTACTGGCTTCAACAGTGCCAGAATTTCCTCTGTAAATCATAAGGAGCACCTTGGCTATCATAAAGCTTCATTATTTTTCATGCCCCTTAATTGTTCACTATTGAACATTTCTGTAATAAAGTAACTTAAAGGTCAGATGTGCTTTTGAACATCTTCAGTACTTAAAGATGGATTGGGCTCTCAGGGCTTGACCCTGCGTGGGGTTTGGCTTTCTCATGCACTCCCAGCCTGCAGCCTCCTCCATTGGCACTGGAGACAAACACTTCTTTTCCATCCCAATGGCAAGAGCCTGGATAAATTGCAGTGTTGAGACAAGAGTCATACGTTTGTTTGGGAGTACAGCTGTGCAGTTAACACATGCAACCTGAGCCTGAATGGCTTCTTTCATGTAGACCTTCCACAAGAAATAGCATGATATATTTCCTGACCCTTTGCCTCCCTCCTGCACTGTGCAGGAGCTCTTGGGGTACACCCGAGGCCTGGAAGGCTTTGCTGTGTGAGCAGTTTTATGCTTCTGCAGTCTGAGCTTTTTCTGCAATAGAAAAATCCCTGTGAAAACCCAACATATAATTTGAAGCCCGTATACCTACTGAGCTCTATGTGAGGAGAGTTGTAATGCCATTCTCCCAGCTGCAGTGCTGGTGTTGCTCTGCACCCAAAGATATTGCTGCATCTCCTTGAAAATGCCCTTGCAACATCTTTTTGTGTCAACTGTGAATTTATTCAATTTTTCTTTGTCTTTTTCTATTCAAATGTGAAAGGCCTGCCATCTTCAAAAGCACCTAGAGACACTCCAGAGGGAATTCATTGTTTTCAACAGAGAAAAGTAAGTACTGATAAAAAGGCAGCAATACCGGATGCTGGCACAGAGCAAAAGCTTTTGGCCAGTGAACAGGGAGGGGCAGTGATGTTGCTCCTGCAGGTTTGAGGCTGGGCTGGAATCCAGCCCATAACGACCCTGCTGTGGCTGGGTCCCTGGGGCCAGCTGCCCCAGCAGCAAGGAGGTGCCTAGAGAAGCTGGTCTGGGGCAGGCAGTGGGAACAGGCAGCCTACAGGCATCCCCAGGCCCACCAACAGCTCTACCTCCTGTTCTGCCCTAGGGTGAGACACCAGCACGAGATCCAGCAGCACGCAGCACTGGCCAAGTGCAGAGACATGCACAAGGACAGCCAGAACAACAACCTCTGAGAACCACAGCCCTGGCAGCAGGAGGCTCTAGGACTGCCCCTACAGCTTGCCACCATTCATTAGAAACAGCCCATGATTTTGCCTTCCATGACAGCAGAAATGTGTTTGTGTGAGAAGGGTGAGATGCTCAGCACTCTTCCACTGGGGTTGGCCAGGTGGTATCACAGCCTGCTGAGCACCAGGCACCCACCCACAGAAACACATCATCACCAGCCCTTGTCATGGTGGGATCTGCAGCTGTGTGCCCTGGCTCTTTGGGCCAAGATTCCTGCATGGGTTCCTACATGGAGCTGATTTTTCCAGGTGGAAGACACTGCTCTGACTTGCAGTGCCTTCAGTGGCATGCAGCAATGGCCTCAACTTGCAGAGATCTGCAAACATCCTCAGAAGGGCTGGTGCTGCTCTTCCCCAGCTGGCAAGGGCAGTGAGGTTCCATCCATGCCCCCTCTCCTCACTGCTTGCAGAGCCAACTGGTGCAGAGCCAGACAGGCACACAGCTGAACAGGGAAGTGACACAGTGACAGCCAAGTACTGGTGAATGAGCAGCATCCCAGAGCTTCTCCAGGCCATCCTGAAAAACCATTCACAAACATGTTAAACTGCTGCAAATTTCTGAATCTGATGGGGTCATGGCTTCCAACATCAGAGGTAAATTTGAATGCGTACTTTTCATCTCTCTGCTGTTGTCTTCACACTTGACTTAAACAGCAACAGCTGTGCTCCTGGTGCAGGCTTTGCCAAGAGTGAGACTGACCAAAGCATCTCTATTAAGGTAAATGCTAGGTATTATGCTATTATTCAAATGCTTTTGCAGACCAGACCTTTCACCTCTTTATTTGACATTTTTCCTAATCTCAACAATATAATAAACATGTGTCTCCCATTTGCCCAAAGGTGTTCTTGTATCCCCTGTACCTTCCTGTCTCTCTCCTCTGGCTAAACCTGATTAATTAAAAAAAATCCAAATAAAACAGACAGCAAATGAAAGACTCCTTCCCAGGTAATCAAAAGCCACTGTTTCTTCAGAGGTCACTTGCAGTGCAAGGCAGAATAGGTCTGGGAGGGCTGGGTAAAGCCAGGCTATGACAACCTGCAAAGCACTGGGCTACAGCTACCTAGGAGAGGATCACACACCACAAACCCGGAGAAGGGAACTGGCCCTGCTCCTCGCTGGGGCAAAGATCAATGCTGTTGTACTGGCTGACAAAAAAAAAAAAAAAAACCCTGAAGAAGTTATATGAGAATGCTGCACCTTTAAAAATTCCCCAAAAGATCTCTAAAACAATCTCTGAGGCAAAGTCTCAGCTTAATCACTAACAGGCAGCAGCAAAAACTCTCTAATTACTTCATAGCAGAAGTTCACAAAACTTCCAAGTATGAGCAGCCTTCCCACCCCAGCACAACGACTCTGGCACGGCCCCTTTAAGGACTGCTGCACAGACAACTCGTGCTGTCTGAGCTACAGGCATGCAAAAATAAATATTTCAGGGTCAAATACTTCAGGAAAAAAAAAAAAAAGTATTGGATTTATTTAGCACTGCCTAGATTGACACTCCATTTTTTCTAACATGTAAAAAACAATCTAATTTTTTTGGATGTTTTGCAAGCTTGAGAAGGCAGGGACCCACAGTTGGACACCACCTGACAGAGGGAAAGCAATTCACTCACAGGTGCCCACAGCCTCAAAACCAGCCCCAGCTGGGAAGGCCTGGCCCATGACACCACAGCTGCCAGGCACAGCCCACAATGGCCACAACAGGCAGCAGCCAGAGACAGCATGGCCAAACTGGACAGAGTCTCACTAGCACCTGCTCCAAGCTGTTTTGTCAACACTTTTGCTTTTGCCCAAGAAGCAACGTGGTCCCAGTATCCATACTGGTCCCCCAGTGCTGCACACAGACTCCTCTGGCTGTACATCTTCCTCAGCTCAAACAGCCCCAAGCTGCTCCGGGAGCCCTGCAGGCATCCTGCCCCCGGGACACAGCCTCTCTGCCCCTGCTGTCCCCAGGGCCAGGCAGGCAGGCACAGCTCAGAGTGGAAAAAAGCAGCCACGACAACAAGTTGTTTGAGGAACAGTTGTTTTCTTTTTTCCTGTCTTTTTTAATAAAGTGTACAAAGTCGTAGATTTCCTTACATGAGGTGCTGTGACAGCTGTTACAGAGATGATCTGGGCTCCTTAATGGGCGTCGTGGTGAAGCACTGCTGAGCGCCAAGACAAAGGAGCACGGCGCTGCCCGGCTCACACTGCACCCCCCGCCTGCCCACAAGCATTCAACACCAACAACGACCTGAACCAAGTGACCTGTCTGAGCGGCATGCATACAAAAGGAAGAGGAAAAACACAACCCACCCAACCCACAACAACAACAACAGAATTTTAAGGCTATGCATAAAATAAAATGAAGCAACATCTTTAAAGCTAGGTAGCAAGTAGCATTTGTGAAACGTAAGGCTTGAGGCTTACTGATTCTTCAGAACAGGTTTATTTGCTTTTCCTTCTTAAACACCAATGTACCACTTTTTCTTCCTTTGCTTGCACAGGGATCGCTCCCCTCCCTGCGTGGGGCTTTAGCTGAGGGAGGTGATGTTGGAGCGGCCTCCCGGCGGTGCCACAATGCGCTTGCTGGCAGAACGAATGCCTTCATCAATCTGGGTACCTGGAGCACCAAGGGAAAGCGAAAGTGACCCTGAGGATTTTTTCCACTCAGCCATCAGGAAGGCTGGGGTCTTGCTGAAAGGCTCTGGGCCACCGACGGCAACCTCTGCCTCTGACAGAGGAAGGACCCCAAGGAGAGCAGTGGCCACTCCCAGAGCAGACGGTCCTCCACGTGCAAACCCACACAGCACAAGCAGAATCCAGTGCTGCACCATGGCTGCAGCTTAGCCCCCCCTGGCCCAGGCACCATGCTCTGCCAGCCTACCCAGTGCCGTGCTTACCTGACAGGCTGAACCCCGACTGGTGGAGGTTCCTGACAGGGGGTGTCTGCCGCGTGGGGGACCCCCGGGTGGATCCTGCAGGGGTGCCACCCTTGGGGGTGGCCGTCAGGTCAAACACAGGTCCATCATACATGCCTCGGGGCACCGCGTGCATCTCCGCCATCTGTTACCAGAGAGGAATGGCACAGTGACACTGCAATGCTTCTGCAACTCCTGTGAGCCCGGCAACGCCACCAGCAACCTGGTGCGTGGATTCCAGCCTCCCTGGTCCCACTGCAAGGCCACTCATGCTGCCAGCCCCATGCTCACCTGTCCTGCATGCCCAAGACCTTTCTGCAGCATTGAGGTGTCTCAGCCCCACCTCCTGCACAACAGCCTCCCACAGCGTGCTGAGGGACTATGCAACAGGCAACCCCTTGACATGGGTTTATTTTGTGCAGATGAAGGCCCTTTTTGCTCAGTCTCCTTGTTTTTAACTCAACTTTTCCCTTCAGGTTCCTGCTCCAGCAGGAAGGCAACAAGGGAACAGTTGGACCTGCAGCACCCACTGCTGACTAAGCCCCATGTCCTGCCCCCGTGGTAGCACACCACCAGCACAGAGGTCACAGCTCTGCCAAGCACTTAGCAATCCCCAGCAGGTTCAGCACACACAGGTTTACAGCACTGTTTCCAACTTATCAGATACGCTGAAGGGAAAACAATCAGCTAACTGGGAAAGAGGCAATTTGGGTTAACAGCCTCACAGCTCTTTCTGCTGGCATCCCCATCTCCTTACCTTTCTCCTGGCTTTGATCCGCTTGTAGACATAGTCAGGGAAAGGGCTGCAGGGCAGGAAGCGCCCAGTCCCCTGGGTCACGTGCAGGTTGCCATCCTCCAGCATGATCTTTCCCTGGCATATGACAACCAGTGGGGCCCCACGCAGCTCCATCCCTTCAAAGATGTTGTATTCAGCTGCCTGCAGCAACCAGGAGCAACAGTCAGGAGAAACATGAGCACTGTCTGCCCACTGAGGGCTGCTCAATCCCCACACCTCACTGACAAAGCCTCCAGGGCAGAGAGAACACACTTGTAACAGCCTTGTTGCCTCAAAGGCCTCCTGCCCTTCACCAGTCCATCACACCAAGAACCCACCTTAGCTGGGAAAAATTTGGACTCAGAGGAGGAGAAATGCCCAGTGCAGGCCTGGCACAGGGAGAGTGCAAGGCAACTCAGTGAGAAAGGTGCTGCAAGCAGAGCCCAGGGCTCAAAGGCATCCCACCCTGCAGTCACAGCTGCATTGCCCAGAGCTGGAACTTGGTCCCTGCATCTACCAGCAGAGCAGCACCAAGCTCCTTGCAGCAAGATCACTGTGTGTAGCACATCCCACACGCATTCCCAGCATGAGCAGAGGGCTTACAGACTGGTGGGTTTTTGCCGTGACGATCTTCACTGCATCAGGATCCCAAATGACCAGATCACTGTCTGAGCCCACAGCTATTCTCCCTTTCCGTGGGTACAGGTTGAAGATTTTTGCAGCATTGGTGCTCGTCACTGCCACAAACTGGTTTTCATCCATCTTTCCCGTAGCCTGCTCAGACACAAAGAAAACAAAGCACCCTTTTGGGAAGGGAAGAAGAAGAGCCCAGGTCTGGCATTAGACAGACCAAGAGCTGGAGCTATGTTCACATATCATGGCTGCTCGCCCTGTGGCAGCTGTTTCTCCTGCTCCAGCTTGTTTCAGCTCACAAAGCCAGAAAGGAGACATGGCACTGGGCACTCAGCCCTGCTGGGGCAAGGACACGGTGCTGCCCGTCGAGCCTGTGTACTCACTGCTGGGTTGGCTCTTACCACTGCTTTGTCCCAGATGACAGACATCCGTTCCTCGATGCCATTGGTCCCCTCTGGGATTGCTGTGAAGTTGTCTTTTCCAATTGCTTTCTGCGCAGTGCTGAACGTGCAGTGGGCACTTCCTGACACCTGCAGGTCACCACTGGCATGGTGGTAATAAGAGCATCCTGAGCCATTTCATAGTCATACAAAGGCAGAAACATGAGGGACTAGGAAATCCTCTGCGTGTGGGCAGCCCCCACCCAGCTCTCTGTTACTCTGCACTCCTGTTTTCGTGATTCTTCAGCCTGCAGATCCCCACCAACAGCCCCTGTAGTGGCTGAGTCCCCTGGGCAATGGTGGCAGGAGAGCTCAGCCACACCACAGCCAGCACAGCCAGCACTCTGTGCATAGCAAACACAGTTCAGAGTGGGGGATATGTCCTGGGGAACAGAGCAGCCTCTGTGCCAAGCCAAAAGGTGTACTTCCCTAACAGACTATGACTCACATCAAACTAGAGGGACAAAAAATCCCAGTGTGAGTTAGACAAATGATTTTGGCAGCTTGTTGGGTCTGCTTGGGAGAACAGCCCTTCTGACATGTGAGGAGGAAGGAGCCCTGCCCAGCCGAGGACTGTACCCACTGAGACTGTTCCCTGTGTCCTGGCAGCCCTGGCTCCCTCCAGGACAAGCTCACCGTGCCCTTGCTCAGGGTCCTTTGTGTGGAGAGGGCCACTGCTAGGATGGGATCCATCTACCCTGGTCCAGCAGTGCCAGCAAAGGGCAGGAATGGGCAGAGCCAGCAGCTGCCAGGACGACAGGACAAGGAGCTGAAAATCAGCGGGGTCTGAGGGGAGCTGGGGACACAGCTGCCACCAGGTGGAAGGGAGCAGGGCCCAGGCTGGTTCCTGGAGCAGCTAGGAGGGAAGGGCCTGCAAGTGTTGAACTCCTGGCCCCAAACCTCTGATGGCACAGATGCAGCAGCTCTGCACAGGGCCACAAATCACTCCTAATCCACTGGTAATCTCCATCTTCCTCTGATAATTTCTGCCATATGTCTGACTGACTGCAGAGCCAGAGATCCAGCCAGGTGACAAAACATGCTTCCTAATCTCCACCACCTTTGCTCTGGTGAAAGAAAACAAACCACTCAGCCCAGCTGAAGCCCTGCAGCTGCTTCTCCTGACAAAGCCTCAAGAAAATAACCGGGAAAGGCACTGGGACAGAACTGTATTGGCTGCAGGGCTCAGAGGTGCTCCTGCCTCTCCTGAGGTCTGGGGTAAATTTGGTATTGAAGCAGCAGGAAAATATAAAAAATCAAGTTCAGGAGTTGGGCTCGCGTTTCACTGTTTCCCTAAGACCTGCATCTATCTCGTATGTTCAGATCAAGCAGAAGCACGTGCTGCTCACTGCCCACAGCAAAATCCCAGGCGAGGTGCACATTCAGACCCCAAATGCATGGGCACCTCT